TTATTACATCACATTTCAAAATTCGAAGACGTAGCCGTGGCTTTGCAACTGAACGACAAGTTTATTCTTTTCTTTGGCTTCTCGGAAAATTTTCAACAAAAGAAATTGGCCTAAGTAGACATAAACTGGAATTTTTCTTCTAAAATGAAAAGATAAGTAATTTGAAACATATATTTTTTTTTAAATGTTCTTAAATGTCGAAAAGAGTCATTACTTACATTGCATTTACGTACATCAACTTTCTGTCTAAGAATTTAGACTATAATTACTATAAGTTATAGCAATAATCATTGTAGGTCAAATCTTGTTTATTTGAAACTCTTCCTTTTCTAGAATTATAAAAAACAACTATGGCAAATTATTCTTGAAATGTTCCAACTCAAACGCTGTAACTCTATTTAATTATATCATATTAAACTTGATTAACGCGATTAAAACAATTAATAGCAATTAAAACTCTGATTTTTAATAGTTATCTATGCGTAACTTCAATAAGAAGAGGACCTCCTATACCCCCACCTATCACGTCAGCGCCAGCTATTCTTTATCAGCAAAATGGCGTATTAAAGTTGAGCTTAGTTTCTCTACATAAGTCATAGTTTACCTGTTATAGCCAACTGGTTATGCTCGCATGCATTTCATTTTATTTTATAACCGTCGTTGAACAGCCTGCCCAAGTTTTTAGTTTATGACTACTAATGTTCAACTCCATAGCCTAGTCATTTTGAGCTGAATCCAGAAGACAAGGAAACTCTTGGGACAAATATTGGGGGAAATTTACCTTCGTGGAGGACTATTTGATGGAACAAACCCACGTTTGAGTTACAGGGAGAGGGAAACCACGAAAACTTTCATGATTAGCCTGACGGCAAAGGGACTCTAACCCATGATCCGTCTGCCACTGAGGATATTTTGCGTCAGCACTGTGGTTCGTGCAATCCTGATGCAGAATTTGTACGACCAGCCTTTGCTGGGATTCGAGCCCGGCTGACTTCCTTGGAAGGCGAACGCTCTATCCCTGAGCCATCTAGGCACGCATTGCATTTTTATCTATCTAAGTTACCTCAATTTTTTTATTATTTTCCTTGTTATATCTCGATATTAAAAAATCATAAGGGTCACCCCCCCCCTACTTTGGCTGTTTAACTTGAAGTTACATTTTGCTGCGCAAGAACTATAAAAATTAGAAACTTGAAACTATTAGGCTATCTAAAAAGGTGTACTGGAATTTATATAGGTGTGGAGGATGGAATAAAAAAAATTAACATTCGATAATTTGTTCAATAATTGTTAACTGTTAAATTTCTTGGAAAAAACACTACAACGGTCGCTCTACAAGAAGCAGGAATGTGACTAAAAATTTGAAATTTGTCACGCTGATTTGATCACGTGTGTTTACGGAGTTTCTTTTTTTCCTCGGAGTTTCCAGTTGGTTCAAAAGTTTTCTCAATTTTCAGTGCTTTTATGCGAAATTTTTCTCGCTTATTTTTGCTTTATGTTATATTTTACTCTGCTGCTCAAAATCTGAAAGAATAAGAAATCTGAAATTTCGGAAATGTGTAGAAAAATGTACAAAGAGTTCGATAGAATAAAAAATAAACTACAACGCGATTAATAATTAGAGTATTAATAATTGTTAAATTTGTAATAAAATAAAACGTGTTTTCCAATCTACTCCCCTCTAAAATGCAGCTGCAGGGTCGATGTTATGTATCGATAGAATCATTTTGCATCGTAATTTTAATCGGAGTATTTTCCGAATTCCTATTTGTTTGAAAGGTATAGCAAAACTTTCAATTTTTCTTTTCTGCATTTTTACTTTAAATAATGACAATTTATCCATTGTTGCAGAAAATTTCCTCCCCTCATGAAATCTTCATTTGATGCCAATCAAAAGTAGCAAGAGGGAGATTACATGTTATGAAATTTTTGAAAATTGAACAACAAAAAAAAAGAAGTTGTGATCGCCTTATTTCGATCATTGGTTAGCCATGGGTCAAATGCTTTTTTCTTTCTGGATTGACTCCGTTAAACATTTCAAATCATGGGTTGCAAAATATGTCTCCATGGATGCTTGTCGTCGGATTGACTTTTCATATCCTGCCTATGTACGTGTTTCACGAAATACTTTTCCTTATTCAGCATTCTTATATTTATGTTAAAATTACCGTCAAGCTAATAAGTATACGTTAAAATTTAAAAATAATATACAAATACTTTAAGTTATTTTGTAAATACATTAAAGATGTCTGCTAGCGAAAATATAAAGAAAAACAGCAGCGGTCGCCATAGCAACGCATGCCATGACGACGCCTGCGCACTGCTTACTATTACTTTTAAACACAGTTGTAAGTACACTTAAAAGTATGAGAACGCCATCAAATCAAAACCAAGACCCATTTTGTCAATAGGTTAAGAAAAAAAAACTTAATAAGTAGCTATGTAAACCATTCTCTATATATATTTTTATAGATATATCTTCAGCGAGTAAAATTACATATAATTTATTTCTTCTGATTGAATATGTATGTTATACGTTAATTTTGTTTTTCAAATACAGATCATTATTTTTCAAATATAGTGAATGGATTAATCGTCGATATCGTAACGATTCACTTATGAACATAATGTTCTTACATAAAGCTACAATAATTGTATATTTTGAAACCAAAATGTTCTGTGTTTTTAACGAAAATATTGATATTTGAGCAATGATCAAGAAACAAATGCAATGAGCAATGACTATCAGTTCGGGGTTTGGCGAGCGGAGCTAGCAGAAGTCTCTTAATTTTTCTTATTTAAAAAAAAAAAAAAAGCTTTTTAAAAATAGCCCTAGAAATATGACTTTATTCACGACATAGCTCAGAATGCGTATTTTAGAAATTTGAAACTGCATATTTAAGAAAATAAATGCAGCTCTCGAAATGCGCATTTAAAAAATGGAATCAGCTCAAAATGCGTGTTGGAGAAAAAGGGTTGTTCAACAGACGAGTTTAAGAAAATGGACACAGCTCGAAATGCATATTTTAAAAAAATGGACACAGCTTAAAATCCGTGTTTACGAAAATGTTTATTCCTCAAAATTGTATTTAAGTAAATATGTATAGCACGAAATGGACATAGCGTGTTTAGAATTTGAATATTGCTCAAAATGCGTATTTAAGAAAATTTAATTGAAGAGAGATAAAAACATTTTCTTATTTAAATTGCTCATTTATAGTGTTGACACAGTAAACCACATAGATATAATGTTATCGTTAAAGAATTAAATTACTTCTTCGTGTTCTCTCACACATTCTATATTCCTAAATGGAAGTTGTTGTTTTTTTTTCCAAGCGCAGTTGAATATTTTCAAATCCATTTCATTCCGTTATGATTATTAATATATGATTGTTACATAAAACTGAAAAAATATATATATTTTATTAAAAAAATATTCCTTGCTTTTATGGAAAAAAAATGGTGAAAGCGGAAGCGATCATGGGGGTTGGTGAGCGGAGTGAACTGGGGAGAAACTTCCTAGTGTATTTACAGTCCGTGGCCCTATTTTTAGACGCATTCTAATAAGATTCTATGTAAAATCTTTATAAGGTGATACTATATACAACTTTATTGTTTTTAATGTGACTGTTTGCACTTGCTTATGTCAGGGTATCAATTGGTTAAATTAGACAATGTATGATATAAATTCGATGATTAGATAAATGAGACGATATATTAGACAAATATAAAATATTTATTATATCAAGCATTATATTAGTATGTTATAATAATTAAACCAAATTATTCGAAGCACTGTAGTGTTTTAATAATGACATGTTTTGCACGAGTTTATAGGTAATACTTTTATATTTAAACATACATGTAATGGGTTTTATTTAGGAGATTTTTTATATATTTCCGATTTGCATTAATATATTTTTTCTTAACGTATTGCATTGCAATGTTAACTAATTGATAAACGAACGTAAACAAGTACAAACCGGTTTCATCCGCGTTAAAACAATATAAGCTGTATAGCCTCACCTGATAATTAAGATTTTTCATAGAATCTTACAGTTCGTCTATTAATATTATGGCCAGGGACTGTATAAAATCTAGTTACTTTAAGAGAATGCAATTAATTAAAAAATTCAGAAGAAAAAAAATGTAGAGTTAGAAATTGACGATATATCCCACTTAAGCTCAGCACTTGCATTATGCGTTGAACAAAAAAAAAAAAAAAAACGATTGTTGTCCAACTCAAAATTAAGCAGTATAATTTTTACTAATTCTGAGAGCGAATTTATGAGGGTGTTAAGCAAATACGAAAAAGACAAAAAACTATTGTTGTCTGAGCATTCGGTGGATTCTAACAGAATGGAGTAGTTTTCGTTCGACTTATTTACTTACTTGGATAGCTTATTGTAGTGAAAGTAGGTAAGGCTTTACAAATGTTTTTGTTATTTTTAAAAAAAATAGTTAGCATAATTTTCATTTATTGCCGTTTTGTTTACCTTTATCCCTGGAAGTGACAGCCACCGCTTTAAATGCATAGTAAAATTATTGACTCAATAAAGTATAGAAATAAACATATCTGCATATTTATTAATAAAAAGAAATAAATTTAATAAGTAAAAAGGTTTTGTATACACAAAGACGTTCTTTACTTGTTAGTACGCTTTTTTGATTGATGAGAGAGATAATGCTGCCTAAAATAATAACTATAACTATACAAATAAAATTTGTAATGAAACAACTCAAACAATAACATTCGAAAAGCTAATTTAGACTAAGTGAAACAAAAGGTGTTGTTGTTGTTGTGCGACGTAACCAAACAAAACAGATACAAAATGAAAAAGAGCAGACGACCTTTTTATCAGAACAAAGAAATTGATTAGAAATGAAGTGAAGAAGTGATTTAATCTCCCCTTGTGAAAGGAATCGAACACCCATTCGTCGCGTCGCTGACCAAGGCCGCTTCCTAATAAATCCGGTGTAATTACTGGGGATGATTCGAAGGCCCCGGATGCATGCGGGGTGAAGATTGTAAAAGTTTGTTTGAAAAAATTAAAAAACTTCCATCTTTTTTTAAAGTGATTGCCACACGAAAGAACCTGTTTCTCAAAAAAAGATATGGAAACGAAAATTGTTTGACCGCATCGGACGCGTTGCATCATGGGTATTGCCCAAGGAAAGATGATGAGATCAGTTTTGTCCTCGGAAATGATTGAAAGGGGTCCCGGTGAATGGGGGGAGCGAGACACCTTTTATGTTAGCTGCCCCTATATAAGGGCCCACTCTCTTCAGCTCTTCAGGAAAACTTCATTCCTCTTTGGTATTAAACAGAACGCTTAGCATGAAGCTGTGGGTAAGTTTACATAGCCTATGGAAAAGGGCAATATTTTTGACATTTTCGTGTTTAAAAATTAAATATTAAAATATAATATCAGTTATAAATATATACTTAACTGTTATCATATATATTTCTTATCGTGTATGCTATTCTTGATTTGCTGCAATATATTTCAAGATATAAGTATTTAATATTTTTGTAATATTTCTGGTTGTTTTTGTTATATTTTCAAGATATAATTACATTTTATATATACATATAATTATATTTTTAATTAATTTTTTGCATTGTTTCAAATTTGGCTGATTTTATAGAAAATTATCTTTATATATTTCATATTTTATATGCTTTGAAATATTTATTACGCTTTAGTTATCTTATATTATATTTCAAAATTGGCATATTATAAAGGAGATTTTTTAGTAACGCTTGACAATTTATATATATTTATTTTATTTTATATGATTTGTTATATTTTTTTTATATTTTATTTTACTGTTTTATATTTTTATAACATTTCAAACTTGGCTGATTCTAATGAATTGTTTTTATTTTTTACGCTTAAATATTTCATTGTAAATGTTTTGCTATATTTTTATTACTTTTATATTTTTATAAACTGTTTTATATTTTTATGGCATTTCAATCTGGTTGGATTATAATTAAATTATTAATTATTAGCATTTGATTATTTTTATGCTTTATATTTTTCAAAACATACTTTTCTTATAATTTTAACCTTTTGGTTATCGAAATTATAAGTAAAATTAAGTATTTCAGTTTGTTTTTTAATTTGCACACTGAATTCTGTAGGCTCTTGTCTGGAAAAATAAATAAATTTAATACGCTATTTTTAAAATATGTTCATGTATTGTTCTTTTACTGGAAATTTTCTCAGTTTTATTAAAGAAATGAATTTTAATTTAGCTGAAATATATCTTATTTTTTGATTTATATCCAAAAATTTCATAAAATTTTTTTTAACTATATGAATTAAAATCTATTTTAATCACGCAAATTTTTACTTTTAATTTTACCATTATGTGTAACCATTTTTGTCCAAAACATTAATTTTTGGGATGATTGATTTTAATTTTATTTCAAAATAATTAGGATCATAAATATGTGGAATTATAAATATTTTTTAAAAAACCATAAAACTGAGTTTTTACGTTCAGACTGAGTTGTCTGAGTTTTTATTATTAAAATATATTGATTAGCCAATATCATCATAAATATAAACTGCTTTAAAAATTAAGAATGATTATAGCTTTGAAATATCTGTATCTCTTTTAGCTTTTTTCATAACTTTATTCAATTGCTTTTTTTATTTGCAAGCTTTCTTACGATTTGGGTAGCTTTAGCAAAAATAAGAAAAAAATTTAATCCATTCATTTGCAATTAAAATAAAATTGCAACATTTTTTTAAGCTTTTAGTTTGCATGCTTTTCAACGTGATTCATGTAAGTGGACTGTTTTTCATTTATTACCATGAAATAATTTTAATGCCAGTTAAATAAGTTCTAATAATCACGCAAATTGAACAAATCGAACATTAATAAAATGAATTATAGCACTAAGATTGAAAGTTGAGTTGAAAGTTGATTTAAGTTGAAATTTTAACACAAATGCAAAATGTATCTAGTGTTTTACAAAGTCTGTATTAATCGTAAGTAATTTTATAGAAGCATCGCACAAAATAAAAAAAATAAAAAATTTAAAAAAATAGTAAAGTAATTACAAGTTTAGACTTGAAATTTTTATTGCAATTCGTTGTAATTTTAATTCATTTACAAAATATAATCAAGTTCGTATTTAATTTAGACTTTAGAAACTTAAGCAAATCAAATTAATATCATTAACAATGGAAATATTAATAGAAGTTGTTAATAAAAGTTTAGAGTAATTTTAATGACTCAAAAAAAAAATTATAAATTAAAAAATTATAAAAAATTATTGAACTTAGTTTAAGAATTATTTTAATTTTTTTCAGATACATTTTTTTTAATGAAACTGAATGCAAAACATCGATTACTATTACGATCACGCTAAAAAAAAATTGTATGGCATAATTTCCTCAGCACAGAATTCAATACTATTTTCTCAATAAAAATCCCTCTCTAAATTCTTTTCTGGAACAATTTTGACACTTTAAAAATTCATTTAAACTATAAACATACGTTTGCTTTAATCTACTAAATGTTCAGCTAGAATTTTATGAAGTAATTTTGATGAGGCGAAATTTTCAAGTATACAGTAAATTTGCAGAAAAATAAATCGCACTATTAATGCAAATTCAAATTTAACTTGCTTTGACAAAATAATTTGTATGTAACTAAATGAGTATTAGATATCCATCGTTTACTGCCTTTATAGTTTTAAGAACAATGAATAAATGAAAAAAGTTAATATTTTGTATTGGACCAACTGAAAGGAATTAAATGACAAAAAATAAATATAAATTTATATTAATAAACGCATTTCTAGTTAAGGAATTCATTTAAAAAAATGTTAATGAATTTATTAAAATGAAATATAATATTGTAAAAGCGTTGCGATTCTTCTATAACTTTAATTTTCATTTCGAATTTTTGTACTATTTATGTATTTCCAATTTTTTTCTCCATAACTGTATTCTATAAGCAATTCTCAATGCTATTTAATTACTATTAATTTAATTGATTTAGAACTGAATTTGAGATAATAGTTTTTAAACAATATATGCTTTTATTATAATTCTGGCGAAAAACGGGCGAAAAACTATCGTTAAAGAGTTTGACGTGTAAATAAAAATATCGCCTGTATATTTAGACTATATTGAAAAAGGTTTTCTTAGTTTGTTTTAATGTTGTTTTTCTTAATGAAATATGTATTTTGAATATGCATTTGATACAATGGGTGTTAAGAATCATTAAAACATTTAATTACCTGATAATCAGTAAATAAAAATAGTAGTTAAGAATAATAAAAGAAATATAAAAAATGTCTGCCATTTGCTAGAAAATGAAAGAAAAGTTTGTAAATAGATATAGATTCACATTACCTTTTTTTCATTTGTAAATATAAAATATAGTTTAATCCATGAACATATTTCAAAAAAGCTCAGAATTCAAGGATAATCTTGACCAGACATCTCGTTGGTCAAGTTTTTATTTTGGACATAGTTTAAAACGCGTTTTCAATTAAAATGGGCGTCTCTTGAAAACAATAGTAGTACATGATCGTTTCAGAAAATTGGTATATCAGGATATGCCAGAGTTTGATCACTAAAATAAACATTAAAATGATGTACTAAGTCAACTAAAGTACCAAAGACAAAATTTTATAATCGTTATTCACTATGCTATTCTTTTAAAATGCATTAATCATAAAAGTAGTTTAAAAACTGAATGTTAATTTTTTAAAAAGCGCAATCTAAGTTATACCTAAAGTAGTAAGTATACTGACTATCTAGTAGTAACAAATATATGTACAAAAATTTAATCACATTTAATTTAATCAAAAATGTTTATTTTTCGGCATAAATACAATTTGTTTTTAAGAAATATTCTTAAAAAATTATATTTTTTCCTGCTTGATTGTTTCAGATAAATAATTTTTTTTCACACCTCACTTAATCTATGATATTCCATTTTAGATTGTATTTTTATTTGCGTTGCTGGCACTGGCATCTGCAGCCGGTAAATATGGTGGTGGTGGCGGCCATGGAGGAGGAGGTCGAGGTGGTGGCCTCGGAGGATACCGTGGAGGTGGAGGAGGAGGCAAATGGGGTGGTGGAGGTGGACATGGCGGTGGCCTAGGAGGTTATAGAGGAGGTGGAGGAAGTAAATGGGGTGGCGGTGGAGGTATGCGTGGCCACGGAGGTGGTGGATACGGTGGCGGTGGAGGATATGGCAAAGGACATAGAGGAGGTGGAGGAGGCTACGGAGGAGGTGGTGGAAAACGCGGAGGAGGAGGTGGAGGATATGGTGGAGGAGGATATGGAAAACATGGTTAAAAGGAAAAGAAAGAGGGGAGAACTCACATAGCCAAAAAACTTAAGAAAAAGGGTGAATATCTCATTTTGTAATTGCATATGTATACCTTAATTATGTTTACTATTATAATTAAGAGGATTTCGAAGCGTAATAACCTTTTTCTGTCGTATCTCTGCTCTCAGCCATCCAAACCTTTTTTCTTTTTTTTTTAACCGTTCCAGTAGTATGTAAACTCTCCGAAACCTTTTTTTAAATTTATTTATTTAATTTTTTGTCCTTTCAATTGTACATCTGCTCCCAGTCACGATTTTTTTTTTTTTTAGGCCGTTCTAGACATTTGCTAACTCTTTTTTGTTAAAGTTTTTTGCTGTTCTAGTAGTACTCTTCACCACGAGAAAATTTTTCCAATCGTATGATTTCTCTAACAGGCATCCCACTAATGATGATCTGATAGTATCAAACAATATTGTTCTTATAATCTTCAAAAATAGTACGTAAAATTCAAAATTTTACGAAGTTGTGGAAGACCGATCACTAGGCTAGTGGTTACTGTAGTGGTCTACGGGGTCAATGGTTGTGGGTTCGAATCCCTAGGTAGGCATGGATGTAACTTTCTCTCTGTGTTCTAAGAGATAAGAGAGTAGCATTTATGAGGCGAATGGAAAATAGACCCAAGGACCCGCCATTTAAAAAAACAAAAACAAAGAAAAGTTGTAAGTACTGTGAAGTTTCCCTATTTTTATGAAAGAGAGTTTCCTTCGTTGTCCTACATTATGATTCCGACAAAAATTGATTGCGAACCATAAGACAACTATTTATAAACTAAATACAACAACAAAAGGATTAGCTGAACAAGCTTTATTTATTTTTTTTTTTTAATTATCGTAAAATTAGTTTTGTAGCGTTAGTTGGAAATCTTTCAAAGCTATTTAAAAAATACTATAAATAGAAGGTATTGCAATTCTTCTTGTGTACTCATTAACTTGACATAAATTTCAAAGCACTTAGAAATAAGAAATATAAAAATTTAGATCAAAATGCCGTAAAAATTACGTTGTCAATCACTATTTTCTTTTTCGCGGGAAAGAAACAGTCCTTTATTCTGGTTATAACTGTTTAAAAAAATCTTCGTTATTGTATATATTTTACTCTTTCCGGAAAAAAGGCTAGATTGAAATGAATTTTCTTCCCAGTTTATGTTGTTTTTCCTCCTTTTTTATGTACAAATAAGTGTTCAGACATGTTTATTATTATTCTTAAATATTAATGTGGGATCCCCAATACGTGCCCTTCTTTGTTTTCATTTATGACAAGGATTTTAAAAATGCGTATAGATTGTCTAAAGGAAGAACTCCCCTAGCTATTCTTCTGAACCCGTGACGGTGACTATGGTAATGCGGAATAACTATTTCAAGTAGGGGTGTGGGTTCATGGCTTACGCCAGGTTTCGGCTCGAGTCAACAAGAGAAAAGGAATCTTATTTTTCGGTCAACTGTGTTTACCCTAAAGAAAAGCCACCCTCCCTGAAATGCGCTATTCCTGTTTCCATAGCTGCAGACAGCCTCAAACTTTGTGGCGGGGGAGTTCTTACCGTAGACAAACTATAATAAAGGTTTTACGGAAACCCAGTATAGTATTCATCTCATTATGAAAACTTTCATTGGCGTGTAGACTGCCTAAAAAAAATAAGTTCAGAGACAAGATTCTTTAGAATTGGCGTTCTTTCTTGTGATTTTTAAAAAGGTAGCAATCTCATTAACAATGGAAATACAGAAACTTGGTATATAATTGCCCAAAAGCAGTCAAAAGGACTGGATTGTGAAAGAATAACTAATATGTAAAGAAATTCGTTTAAACTTAATTTTTAATATTATTTACAGTTATATAACAAGTTATTAGTAAATATTAACAATTTAAAAAATTATATGCTGTGCAAAAAGTAATAAAATTCTAAGTTCTTGCGTCATTACATACATCATTGTTTTTCCAATTGAAATTAAAAAGCAGTGAAAATGACTACCTCGGACAATATAGTACAAAAAGTCTCGATATTCTGTGAAAGGAATACTTTGTGGAAGGAGTTGCGAACCCCAAGAAGGGCCTCCCCTAAGCGCTTTACTAATTGAAAACGAACATTCTTCTTTGTCTCTCGACAAGAGAAAGTTCTCCTGTAGACCTTGGCCTTCTTTTCAATATACGGTATGGGCAGGTGTGTGGCATTTCTGAAACTGACCTTTTAACATCGTTTGGCCGTTGTAAAGACCCTTTAAAACTCCTCTCCTTCATCATCTTTATCATCCAGAGTTGCTCGTGACTGTCCCCTTGGGGGATCATTTTTATTCGTTGAACGACTTCATTGGAATCAGAATGAAGTTAAAATAACCGGTTTGCACATAAAAACGGCACTTTCAAGATCTGTTAAGTGGCTATATTGAAACATTTTCTATTTTGCAGTTCACATTAATAATAATTTATTCCTTAGAGAGTAATATGATTCTGAATTCTAATAGCATGCAGGATACTCGTGGAATTATAAATATGTAGTTATTTCATTTGTTTTCCCAGTGAATTTTAAATCATCTCCTAACAGTGGAGGTGAAAGCGAAAATTAATATTAGACTTTTATGAAATAAGAGAAATTGCAAGTTATAGCCATCTGTGTAATGACCACCTGTGTGTTTTTAGAAGGCTTTCTCATCAATAAAAACAGATTGAGGGTCAAAAATTTAAGCGATAAATATTTAAACGAAGAAAAAATAAGGCACTAACGACTTTTGACAAATCACTGTTGAAGAAGGCAATAATAAAAACCTGTTTACTTGCCTGTAAAAACTTGAAAGTAAAAACCTTTCTTTGTTTTTCTTCCCGCAATCGAACAGGTTTTTATATTTTGTATACACGCTTTCTTCCATTGTGATTAGTCAGACTTTGATAGTGTCTTCGTTTCTTTCTCGCTCTTATGTTAAGTAGTGACCCTTGACGTGTACACTTTTTTGTCTTAAATTTTACAATGGTAAGGGTGGTTATTACTTTAATCATTATTTTTTGAATGTATATTTCAAACTTATTAAATACCATATAACTTCTGAACCAATAGTCCTTATGTTCGTGTCTTTCTATTCAGCTTGAAAAATATACATAGAAAGCGATACCTTATTTCTATGAAAAAAAGTTTTTGTTGCTCTCTCTTGAATCTCCCCTCAGTAAATTCAAGATGGCAGCTTAAACTCACCTTGGCGAAGGAGACAGACTTTAGATATCCATAGCAAATCTAAATCACAACTAATAAAGCAATTTCCAACTAAATTCTAATTATTTCCGTATTCGACTACTTAGAGATTGGCCTAAAAAGGAATTTCGGCTTAATATAATTTTTAAAAAATCTACTGTGCAAATAATTGATGAAATAAATTAAATTATAAATTAATTTAAATATAGTAACCTTTTTTCTATTCTAGTCGCGAATATCAAAGTGATAGTCCAAATCAACTCAAGAGCGCGCCTACCTAGCTTTTCAGGAATTTCGCCAAGTTCAACTGTGATTTTTTTCCTCTAAATAAACAATAATTGGAGTAAATTAAAAATTAAAAACAATTTAAGCTAAAGGGATCTATTTTTTCCTTTATTTTGTTATTTTTTTGTGTGGTGTTACTCCTGAATTTGATTTTTAAAAAAAAAGTTTAATTTCATTTTAATAGCAGAGTAAAATCATTAAGATGCTGTCAGTTAACGGTTTCATCAGTCTATTAAAATTTATTCAAGCTATTTAATTATTTAAACTCATAGTTCATATTAAATATTGAAAAATGAGTACGCATGAATTCTGTAATCAAGATTAATTTTATATTTAACTTTTTGGATCATATTAATGCGCATATTTAGAACTGTCTTTGCTCACATATTATTATTTTTTCTTTTACAGGAAGTGAACGTTAAGATACACAAAGAAGCCTGTGCAGTCAACTAACGAAGAAATGAGATGATTTTTTTTTTTAATTACGTTTTAGTGTTTTTAAGATCTACAAATAAAACACATGTTTTTATTTTTACAAATTTTGTCTCTTCCTCTTTGCTTTCCATTTAAGAAAAATAATTAATTTTCAAAAACTATGCATATGAAGCGGCAAATTTATATTTTGAACGATAAAAAGCGTTTTCAAATTATGGCCAATCATTTGAAATCAGGGAGAGTAAAAGATGAATTGAAATCATCAGCAAGTTTAATTTTTTAGAGCTGAAATAAATCCAAACTGCAAAGAAACTGGTTTTACAAGATTTTAATACTTCATTTGCTCTTATCAACACCAATAGTGATTTTTATTTCTAATTTCGCAACCCAATTTTTGGGTTTACGACTAATCATGTTCAACTCTGTTGCCTTGAAATTTTGAACCCAATCCAGAAGACAAGGGAACTCCTGGATCAAGTATTGGAAGAAATTTGCCTCCATGGAGGACTTTCTGATGGAACTAACACTCATTTGCGTTGAATGAAAAGGAAGAACATGAGGACCTCCCAGGGGTAACCTGACGGCAAGGGGACTCTAACCCATGATCCGTCTACCACTGAGGATATTTCGCGTCAGCACTATGAACGGTGCAAGCCAGATGCGAATTCGTATCGGCAAACCATCGCTGAGATTCGAACCCGGTTCACCTCATTGGAAGGCGAAAGCTCTATCCCCGAGCCACCGTGACTTACCAATAGTGATTGTTAACTTTTTCCCTTCAATTATTAGTTCGTAAATCGCATGTTTGACTTCATTTAAAATAATGTAAAAATGCACATTAACGATGTAACGTACCAAAAACCGAGCCAGGTGATAATATGCATCGTTATTGTTTTTACGCGATTGAAACTGGTTTGCCGTTGTTTACACTCCTGTATCAATGGGTTAACATTGTAATGCAATACGTTAAAATTAAATACAAATAGGAAGTATATTAAAAATCTCTAGAATAAAAACCCACTACATGTATGTTTAAATACAAAAGTATTGCCTATAAACTCGTGCAAATCATGTAATCATTAAAATATATATATATATAATTCTATATTTATATCATTATACGTGATATAATAAATATCCTATATTTATATCATATATCGTCTAATGTATTCTATCGTCGAATTTATATTATATATCGTTTCATTTATTTCATTGATAGACAAATAAATTTATTTAATTAAAATCGGCAATTTAAATGCATGCGTGATTTCTTCAAAAAATTATTTAATTTGCATAAAGAATTTGGGTAATATTAACTTATCTGCAAACGATCGTTCATCATTAAAAAAAGAAGAAGAAAAAGAAAAGAAAAAACTAGTTACAACACTAGCTACAGCATAGGTCTAATAATCTAAAGTGGATTGTATTTGACATTCTTCTGTTCAAATACAATTCACCAGTGTTTTCCTGCTGTTCAACGACGGCTATGAAATAGAAATAAAAAAAAATAATAACGGGCAATATAGGGCCATACATATATATAACCAACAATTTCTCCATTTTAATGCAATTAAAAGCACTTTGAAATATATGCATACATAGTTACATATTGTGCCAAATTGTGGGCCCCCAAATATAATACCCGACTTAGTTTGAAAATTATAGGATAATATTAAGGGGAAATATGGGGCCACATATGTATACAAGCAATACTTTCTTCATTTTTGCATTTTTAGTAATATACACACTAGGTAAAGGAAAAAAAAATATTTTATTATATTTAATAGAATATTTAAGTTTCAATATTGTAAAATAAATAAATTAATTAATTTTATTAAATATAATTTTTAAATATTGAGTATGTCCAGGATTTGATTTGGGACTAGCAATGTTTTGCTTCATATCATTAACCCTACCGGTCACATCTTGTAACAAGTTTCATGAGTGTTTTCTGCGGTTTACCAATGGAACCATAGTGTACCCCATTGTGGATCCCCTATCTTGTCTATTATATTTTATTGGTATGATATAGTTTAGAATGTTATATTAAAAAAATCTGACGGAGTTTGAATATCATAGAATAATATTAAGGAGAAATATGGTGCCTTTTATATGTATAGTATTTCAGCAACAATTTCTTCATTATGCGCCCTTAGATAAGCAGTCGGACCTCTATTTAACGAATTCGCTAAATCCCGATAATAAGTTCGTTATATGGAAAATACGTTAAATAGAAAATCACATTTTGAAGTACTTAAACATCACAAAACAAGTTTTTAATTCATTAACACTAGACATAATTAAAATAGTAATTGTAAACTAGTATCTTTATCTCGTAAACTAGTATCAGCTATTTATTTTATAAATCTTAACCTTAAAATAAATCAAATCTGTATGGTAAGCAAGAGCAGAGCAAAACATTGTCCATTGTTACACTAACATTCTAAGTAAATGTTCAACTAAAAAAAGCTGAATTTATGTATAAAATTATTGCTTGCTTTTATTATAAAAGTGATTTTAAACATATACTACTACACGCATTCTTAAGTTTAATTGCTACTGATGAAATCCGTTAATTTTGTCTGAATTTTTCGTTTGAAACGCGAACTAAAAAGTAAAGGGATTTTACTGCTTTCTCTATAAGTTAAGTGGCTTCGAAAATCAGTTCAAGGTCATTTCCCAAATAAAATGCGGTAAGAAGTATGAAATGTTCTGAAATATTTTGGGAAAGAGGATTTCAAAGAAAAATTCGTAAATGGAAAAATCACTTCACTATTTGGAAGTTATTTTACAAACAAATTTCTAAACTGCTCTTGGTTCCTCAAAAGAAAAATCGCAAAATAGAGAAATTCGTTAAATAGGGATCCGACAATATATTCAAACATACTTTAATATTGTTCCACATTGTGGGCACCCTAATTTACCTGTAATTATTTCCTTCTGTGTAGTAGAATATTATGTTATAGTATAATAACTGATCGAGTTGTAAATATCATAAGTTAATATTAAGGAGAGGTATGGTGGAAAATATACAGTATATGAGCATTAGTTTCTCTATTTTTACGCTGTTATTCACTCTTGGAAAAATATACATACATACTTAAATTTGTGCTACATTGTGGCCCCTTAATTTGTTTATAATTATTTAATTCGGTATGTTAGTATAGTATGTTATAAAATAGTACCATACAATGTTTAAAGATTATAGGCAAGTGTTCACGGGCTATTTATATGTGCAGTACATGAGCAACAATATCTTCATTTTTACGCGATTATACACACTTTGAAATTTGTGCATACACACTTAAATAGTGTGCAACTTTGTTGGGCCCCCTAAATTGTCTATAATTATTTCCTTTAGTAGGTAGAATATTATGTTATAATATAATAACTGAACGGGTATGAATATTACAGGTTAATATTAAAGGGGCATATAGAGCTATATATATGTACAGTATATAAGCAAACATTTTAAAGCTATTGTATATAAGCACTAAGAAATATATACATACTTAAATATTGTGTCAAATTGTGGGTCCCTTAATTTGTCTATAATTAGTAAATTTTTAATATTAAAGGTAAGTATTAAAGAGAGATACAGGATCATTCATGTGTACATAGTGTGGGCAAGTATTGTGGGCAATAATTATATGTACATTGTATGGCCTATGTCCGAGAGTTCATGAGTTCGATCCCAGGCCGGCCGAAGACTCACCGTGCAGAAAATGGTGACTGATACACGTTAAATGTGTCGAGTCGCAAAGTCCGCCATGCTCCCATAACAAATCAATACCTCTGGGGGTACTGAATTGGAGATTGATCGTTCTGATTCAGGTCAAAATTACGTTATTAAATTGTTTATAATTTTGAGAATGAAAATTATTAGAATATAAAGCTGCCTTCTTAATGAAAGGAAAAAAAAGTTTTGAAGTTTGCAACATTACTGCCTTAATCCTGAATATCACTGTAATTTAATAGTTTGCAAACTAGATACAAGGCATTAAAAAAGAAAAAAAACAACCTCGATATACAAACTAGTTTTTTGTTGGTTAAGGTTTAAGCAATTATCTTAATCATTGAGACTTTTGTTTAACTATATTTTAAGTGTTTGTTTATTCAAGCTGGGAATATTATCATTTTTTAGATCTCATACCGTGATGCCTAATTCCAAAGGTGTTTTGCGGTAAAGTCTGTCAGATATATTTATTAACAAGTTTGCCTGATGGCCCTGACATTTCCAATTTTGATGCCCACAGCGATTGGAAAACAGGAAATCATCGAGAAGATCCCATCAAAAGTCGTCAAACAAAAATTTCCAAGGTCAGGTGGCGAATCATTGTCTTTTCACAATTACAATGAGATTGTTGAAAAAAGGGGGAGACTCTTTAAAATCCACTTCTGTTTGATTAGGTCAATGCATTATTTCACAGCTTGGTTTTGTTTTGTTTTTTACCCCCTCAGGGAAAGTGAACGCGACCATGTTCTCTAAAACCTTCTGGATAAAGTGCACCTCCCATCTCACAAGCTTGAATGTCAACAATTAGGTGAAATCTTCTTGGAAAAAAAATCAAATTGCCGTTGTTTGATCAGTTGAAATTAAAGCATTTTTGTTTGTTTGTTTGTTGTTGTTTTTTTTAACTTTTTTCCTTGGCGAAAGAAAGAAATCTAAAAAAAAATTACTGACATTTTTTTTCAAACCTGTTTTTGTTGAAGAAAAAAAAAATCTTTGAGGTCTTAGTGAGTTGGAATAAAGAACATAATTATATGTTTGAACACCTGGATGTTGTAAATCTATCATTTTATTAGTTGAAATTAAAAAGCTTTTTTGAAGGTCGATTTTTAATGTCGCTATTCCATACTAAATCCGCCTGATCTGGACCACATCTTTGTAACATATTTTTATAAAATGCATGGATTATTTAAATTTTTTGTGCCGTTGTATTTATAAGAAACGTCGTTTCTGTGTTATAAAAAGTAATAAGCTTTAAAAAAGAACACAAATGTTCTATGAAGCATTTGTAAAATTTTAAAGCATTAGTGCTTTGAATTGTTTTTTTTAAATAATTAAAAATATTAAATTCAAAAATGAAATTTTTTAATATTATTTTGACTAACTGTAATAGAATACTCTAAACTGAGCTGTTTGTGGAGCGCCATCTGGCGACATTATTAGCAGTTGAATTGTTAGGTTGCGTCTCTAAGAATAGTAAATGTTCTATTTCATTTTATGAATTGTGTTTTGTCCCTTTTATTATGTTAGGCGTGTATTTCTTTGTGTTAGTTATATGCATTCTATTTTATGAGTGTTTAATGAGAGCTAATTTGAATATCAGTTTATATCACAAACATTTACATTATGAAACCTAAAGAAAATTTCTAGTTTTGTACAGTTACACGCTTTAGTTTATATCTTTATCATTATTTAACATTAGCTTTTCGTACAATTTAAACAGCATATCTTTATTTTTTAAATTTATGATGAGAACACTTCATGCAATTATTTTAATTAGTTTTTGAGATAGGTTGTTTAAAAAATTAAAGAAAACAAGCTCAAAATTATCACCAAGAAATAAATCTAATTTCGATATCAAATAGAAGAAAACAATTTTCTTTCTTTCTAGTTGAAATAAGAGCATAATTTTTTTTGTCATTTAATAAAGAATTGAAATCCTGTATTTTTTCAAACAATGTAAATTTCACCCAGTGGTCGGAAATAGGCGAAACAACTGTAATCGCTTTTTTCTGTAATTTGTGCGCTACTTTTTAAAAGAAGTAGTAGTAAGTAGTGCGATATAAAAAAAAAACAGTAGTTTGTAGCGATTCCTGACAAACTACTGTTAACGTTAGTTAAATAAAGAAACAACGATCAAAAGCTAAAAATTTTTGAATCTGATCAGTGCAAATGTTAATGGATGTTAATGTTAAGAATCCCTTGATGTTAAGATGCAAATGTTAAGAATCCCTTCGCGGGCCTCACATAGTATGCAATGAGAATGCCTCTGTGGCCGAGCGCTACTAAGTTCTACATCTGAAGCTCGGAAAAAAATAGTGCGAAATCACTAGAGTTGTTCCTGAAAAATCAAATTTTAAATATCTAAACTACTAAAAAATACTTAAAACTACCTTTTTTGAAATTCGATTTCCCAAGATCTATAAAATATGTTTATGTGTCTGATTTCGAAACTTAAAATATCGTCTGCATTAATTAATTAACATATTTGCGGTCACCCCCACCAAGTTATTAAGATTGAATCCCAAAACGTGAAGATCCGATCATTGAATAAAAAGTTATTCAGGGTGGTCCAGGTTTTTTTTTCGCACTGTACTTTATTTCTTGGAGGATATAAAAAAGTATTGATCAATTAAGCCACAAATATTTGATAATTCCCTAGCATTTGTCGAGAAAATCATAGAATTTAAAAGTTAAAAGAACAAATTCGTAAATAGTGTTTCAGAATTTTAAAAAAAAAAAAAATTCATGCAAACAGGAATAATACTTCTTAATATAATATTCAGCAAAGCCAATTTTTTATTCAAGATATTGGTGAAATGAATATTGGTGAAAATTAAGTTCTCTAGTTAAGTTTGTCTTCTAAAAGTAGCTGTATTAAAGTAGCTGTAGTTAACTACAAAGAAAATGTAGTTTTTCCGACCACTAATTTCAAGATATTTAAGATTTAGTGTCCTGGACCCGTTTTGTCATATCACCCACATGAATATGTAACCTTTTTTTCCTGTTACCTGACAAGTGCTTTGCTACTGTGGTCTACTGTTTTTCTATAATATACAGTACAATGATGAAAGAAAAAATTTATCCTTGATTTCGATGAATTTCAAAACTTTGATTGGCTGGGAATTAAGGTTTTGTGTGATTATGCTAAATGCAGCTCTTAATTTCTAGGACTGAATAACTCAAGAAAATATTTTGCTTATTATAGACCAATTAAATACGTTTGATATTTTTTTATGAAAGTTGATAAAGGAAGAAAAAATATATGAAATGAAACTCAATTTCAGGAAACTATTTTTTTTTTAAATAGCAATTAAAATAACTTTGAAGCAGAAAAGATAATTTTTTTTCTTTTCGTTTTTCTAGAATAAAGGCATTACTTATTCTTTGCATTAAAAAATGTAAGTGCTACAGCTGTAAGTGTAAAGCTGTTTTTTATCATGTTCACTTTTACATTTCATTTTTTTTTACCATTCAAAACAAAACGCACCGACTTAGAAACATGAGCAAAGTAGGATTTAGAAATTTAGCATTACGAAAATGTGTTGTAAAATGTACAAGGAGTACGATAGAATAAAAAAATTTTTAAATCTCATTATTTGTTTGAGAATCAGTGAAAGTTTTAGCTGGTAGTAAAAAAATACCATGCGGGTCACTCAAAAGCCCTCAAAAACGCAGCTATCTAATTGACATTTGACGTACTGATAGGGTATTTTTTATTCATGAACTTAAAACTAGCTTGTTTTTCGAAATTCTAAGTTCACAAAAGACGTTGCAATTTTAAATGTTTCTTTCACAAATTTTTCTCCATTTTTTTTCTGCTCTACTTGATAAATTATTATTATTTTATTGTTTTGGAAATATGTATTTGTCTTTCCAGAGGTTATTATTTTATGAACTCGTCCTTGAGTAGATATAGAAAGTATCAACAAAAAAATATGTAAATTTAAAAAAAAGAGAGAGAGAGTCGATGTTGAGATTTATAAGCCTCATTATTTAGATTTTAATTTTTAAGGCAAAAAAAAATCTTAATACCAGAAAAAATATCCCCCCCCCCCAAAAAAAAAATCAGGTTATAAATTGAGTCACATGGTCTGTGCGCTCCAAAATTTAAATTTTGTTCGAAACCCAGTTGGAAAATTTTTCAAAGCCAGGAAATTTCGTTGCCATCAACAAAAATGTTCTTACATAAAGCTTTAATAATTATATATTTTATTGTTAAGGATCTTAGAGTATTTAAAAAAAAAAAGAATGACTTTGAAAAAGAACGATTGAAAAATAAGTAATAATCACGGTGCAGCATCCTAATTTATTTTTTAAAAAAATAGATTATTTGAAATATTAATGTATAAAAGATACATTTTAGACTACATAAAGAACCATAAGAACTTTGAATAACACTGGAGAGCATATTACTTGTTGCATTTATACAAATACCTTATCTTGCCTTATACGGGTATTCAATTCTGAAATTAATTTTAATGACGTCTTCAGTCTATTTTTTTTTCGAAATGTAGAAGTTTAAAAGCGTTATATATAACAGGGGATCGAGTAAATATTACGACAAACTTCCATGCAATTAAGGGCATATCATCAGGATTAAAAATGCATAGAAATCCATCGTTCGAATTTTTCATAGCACGTGGCTAAAGGCACTTTCCCTATTATGACCTGTTCAGAAGCATATGAAGAAACAGTTCATATAAGGGAAGCATCACTAGCGGCGGGTATGAAAGTATTTCCGAGCATGAGTTCCAGAACAATTCCAATGCCCTTAGAAGTTTGTTGCAGCATATAAGCGACCCCCTGTTATATACAACGTTTTTTAACTTGTATATTTCTACAAAAAGAGACTAAAAATGTCATTTGAAAAAAATTGTAGGGTAGAAACAAAAGGGAAAAAACTGCGGAAAAAACCGTTTGTTGATTTGAAATCAACAATTCAAAAGTAGCTAAGATCTGTTTAAAAAAAAATCTCAAATAACAGAAGGAAGAAGAAAAAAAATTGCACTTTGGAGTCATCAAAGGACTTTCATTCATATGAATGCATATTATTAAAAGAAAGTTCAGTTGAAGTCAAAAACTTCAGTGATACGTTCAATGTGATTTTAAAACATATCCGAAAGCTCAATCATGAAACAAAAATACGAGCACATTCAGAATATAAAAAAAATGACTTAGTCTTGCAAAAGGTCATCTTGTTAGAAAACATCAATTATACTTGCACTTTCTTTTTTTCAAACTTATTTCTTTTGACAACAGAAACACTCATAAAGCGATGTTCTTCAACTTATAAAGAAGCTGTTTTTTTTATAACCCCTTTTCTTACAAGCGACATAAAAAAAAATGTTCTTTAGATAAACTGAGGTGAACTAAAACAAGTTTTATGGGCACTTTGGGTCATTAAAATATCGGTTTTGGAAATTTTTATTGCGAAAGAGCACAGCCTTGTCCGAGTTGTTGTTTTTTTTTAACACATATATATGAGTGTTTTAATGAAGTGCTTATTAATATTCTAGGAATAACGGCAACAATGCAATTCTTATCGAGGCATTTATTTTGAAAGGATGAAATAAAAACCTTATGCATTCTTGGAAGATGTTAAACAAATTTCTTGAGGGGCCATACGAAACCTAGGTCAATAGATTGAGTTGCAGTTGTCTCTCCTTATATCGAACCTCCTTATTCCGTGCACTCGGTTACATTTGTATGACATCTGAAAAATATTTATATATATAATAACAGGGCTACATCCTTGTTATCATTGTTGTATTCAACTTTAATAATCCAGTCATAAGCCATAATAAGTTCTAAAAAGGTTTATTTAAAGGTAGGCTGGTGGTTATGACAGTTCACATCCCCACTCCACAAGGGAGGGTATGTGGACAAAACTCCGGATGGTTCCGGCAGATCTTTTATGGATCACGTTATTCAGCAAGAGACATGCGTAAACCATCGGTCTCGCATTAAATACTAATAGAAAATGAGTAAAAAGGCTCAGTCTTGTAACCTTACGCATTAAGGAAAATCATTTAATGCTTCCTAATATGGAAGTAAAAGAGGGAGAAGATTCTAAAAATGAAAAAAGTTCTATGAAATTTTTTATGTGGGAATTTTTAAATATACTTAGAAAAACGGATAGAAAATATGATGAGTTATTCAACTCAAAAACACAGAATAACCAGAAACTATATCTAACTTAATATTAAAATACTACTAAAGTTTCGATACAAAGATACTTTCGTAACAATTAAAACTTAGATGGAGAAGGTTTCTATTTTAATTCTAGCATAAAACACACGTGGACACAGCTACATGTTTGAAAATTTAACTCAACTTAGTGTGCGAAAATGAACTTTAAACTATACTGTTACGACGGTTAATGCTTTTTTAAAAGAATTAACTTGTTACCCTCATATCACTGATTTTCATGAATATTTTTGCTCTTGTTAAAAAAAATTCTAAAAATATAATTTTTAGAATTTTTGAACAAAAACTCGAATAGCCCCCTCATCATAATTTTGGTGCAAAAAGAATTTTAAAAAAATGTTTAAGTCCTTTTTCAGTTAGTACTTTTCATAAAAAATTATCATGAAAATCTGTGACATGACGGCAATGGCCTTGGGTCCATTTGCTTGGAGTGAGCCACAAATCACTTTTTTCATATATTTTATTGTAAGTCTTGCTTAACCAGGCTTTCATGTTCTTTTTTTTTGCAGATTTTACATATTTATATTAAATGTTATCGACTATACTTGCTAGGATATTATTTTTTAAGATACTACTTTATGTTTAAAAATCAGAAATCGCAGAATTTTGATAATCATGTTTCCTTTATAAAATAATATGTAGTGGTGGTTAAAGAGTGTAGTCCCTGTTTGCATGTAAGATTTTCTAAGATTTATTTTTAATACAATTGTGGCATGTAGGAAAGGACATTAAAAATTAAAAGCATTATTTTTTTATTTATGAAATTATACAATTACAATAAAAAAAATAATTTTATGAGCAACTCACTTTACAGTTTAAATAATTTTAATTGAAATCGTGTGAAAACTCATGTGATAGAACAAATAACTATGAAAATCCGGAGTTGAAACATCAATCTTCAAAATTTGCAAATGCCTGTTTCCATCGTATGCGTCTCTAGGAGAATTGTGTTGTTTTGAAAAGTCCATAAGCCTGCATTTTTTATACACACCTATACTTAAAGATTATGAATTAGAACGTGGAAAAAAATCGTTTATTTACTAATTTGGTTATAAAAAAATAATTCATTTAAAGGCTTTGATGGCCTGGTTGGTAAGGAACTGGGCCCATAAAGAGGTCGAGGGTTCGATCCCGACCAGCCGAAGACTCCCTGTGTAATAAATGGTGACTGACGCACGTTAAAACTGTCGAGTCGCGAAGTCCTCCATGTTCCCATAACAAATCAATACCTCTGGGGGTACTGTTCCAGGAGTTTCCTTGTCTTCTGGATTGGATTCAAAATCAAAAGGTTACAGAGTTGAACATTAGAAGTCGTAAACCCAAAATTGGGTTAGCTGCTCAACCACGGTTATAAAATAAAATAATTCTTTTAAAAATGTATGTTTTTTTAAGAAGAAATATCATTGAGTTTTTTGACAAAATGAGAAATTAAAATTTATATTTGGTGAAATCGTTTTAACGATGTTTAAAAACGAGCTATAAAAGCATAAGTAAACAAACACTTGAAGGTGTAAATAACGCATTTATTTATTGAAATAATGCATTTGTTTATGCGCTGCAGATGCTTCACAACAAATTATTATTATATACTATCTTATGCCTGCTTTGTATGACATTCTTTGTGCTTTTGCAAATTATTTTAACTTTATTCTTTTTAGTCTTCATTTTAGCCCACTTGTATTAAAATTAAGTTTTGGGGGATTTTTACGGACTCGGATCAATTTAGTGATTCTTATTTTTTCTTTTCCAGGATAAAGCTCGAAAATGAACACCTCAAAATAGGAGCCATTTCAATGTTCTTCCCAAGTATAAACAACTAAACGAGGAATTTCGAACTTTTTAAATCACTGTGAATAATCGTCACAGTAGCTATTAAAGGATGAAACTTTTCAGGCACTAGACGATGAAATGGTTTTAAAACATATAAATTCTTCATCACTATTCATATAAATTCTTCATCACTATTCATATAAATTCTTCATCATATAAATTATAAGACTCGCGACATCCTTTATAAAAGTACTCTTTCTTTTTAATATTGTTACAATGATGACTAGTTTTTATTTTATAACCGTCGTTAAACAGCAGGCACAATTTTTGGGTTTACGACTACTATTATTCAACTCCGTAGCCTTGTAACTTTTCGCCCAATTCAGAAGACAAGGGAACTTTTGGATAAAATATTGGAAGAAATTTGTCTTCGAGGAGGACTTTTTGGTGCAAATTTGCGTTACATGAAGAGGAAAAACACGAAAATCTCCCACGTTTAATCTGGCGGCAAGAAGACTCTAACCCATGATCCGTCTACCACTGAGGATATTTTTTTTAAGTCAGCACTGTGGTCGGCGCAAGCTTGATGCGGAATTCGTATTGATCAGACATCGCTGGGATTCGAACCCGATTCACCTCATTGGAAGGCGAACGCTCTATCCCCTGAGCCATCACGGCTCAAGACTAATTTTTTCTAAACAAAGGTGCTGACTTTTGATCGTTGGCTTATTTCTAAAAGGAATTAATTGTTACTGAAAATGATTAACTATTAAAAAGATTACTAGTAATTGCTAATATAAATGAAATCCTATTACCCACTATCAAAATGGGCCTTGGTTTGGATTAGATGGCTTCCACACACTTTTCAACTCTGTTCAAGAGCAATAGTAAACAGTGAACATGTGTTGTCATTGCATGCGTTGCTATGGCGACCACTGCTGCTTTTCTTTATATTTTCACCAGCAGGCATTTTTAATGCATTTGCATAATAATAATTTAAAGTAACTAGTGGGCTGCGACCCCTGCTCGCTATCGCCCGCCAACCCCCGAAAATTGCTACGCAATCTTATATGGTTTGCTTCGCAAACATAGCTCGCTTCACTCGCTACTAACTTAGGTACATTGCGAATGCACAAAATTTTAAAAATTCAAAACAATCATTCAAATCCATATAACAACTTTTTTTTAAAAAAAAAAATGGCATATTTTTATCAAATACTAAGTCATTAAAATAAATTTGAAATCAACAGTTAAATCTTGAATGACAGCACGTCGTCTACGCATTCTTTCACCATAGCTGTCATCAATGCTCTCTTCCAATCTTCGATCACGCTTCTTTTGATTATACTTCAAAAGCGTAACAGCACGACTGAGACTCATTTTTCAATGAATAACTAATAACAATAATGAAACAAATAAATTCGTGATATAAATCAAAAATCGTCAAATAAATTCGTAATATATAAGTTCGAGAAAAAAAAGTGCTTTCGACAAAATACTAAAATAGAGATCTATCGACAAAGACTACTCACTTCTGCCTAGCTCAATAGTATGAGATTGCCGCAGCTGATAGTGTGAATTTCGGAAGAGATCACATTTGGTGAGAATGTTCTCTCTGGTTATTTCAGTTTCCGTTTTTAAAAGTGCTATATGTTGGGCCACCTCAGATTTGGCATGTGACATTTTCAGCTGCAATCATTGGTCGATTTTCTAGCGTTGCCATTCGATGAGGCCTTTTTTCGTCGCCGTGTAAGAGAAATATATATATAGATGTTATATTCTTTTTATTATTAACGTATAATGACTGGCTTGACGGTGATTTCAGTATAAATATGAATACTGAAGGAGGAAAAGTATTTTGTGAAACACGTACATAGGCAAGATATGAAAATCAATCCGACGACAAACATCCATGGAGACAGTTTATGCAACCCATGATTTGAAATGTTTAACGGAGTCCATCCAGAAAGAAAAAGCATTTGACCCATGTGTAACCAGTGATCGTAATAAGACGCGATCACAACTTTTATTTAATATTTAAAAATAATACAGTCAAGAGCATGCAGGTCCACGTATGTAGTAGGTATAGCGAAATTTATTTCAAATTGATTTTGTCCCATCAAAAAACAAAACAAAAAATCAGATATTTTTCACTTCAGCCAAAAGTGTTATAATTCGTATCTATTTCAGTTCCAGAAACGATTATCAACCTCATTGTATAGCGTAGCATGAAGCTCAACGACTTTAACTGTAATCAATTAGAATTTACTTGCACTTCGTTTTCATACATTTTTAATTGAGTGCATCCCTTTCTGTACAAAGGTCAGATACACGAGTAAAAGAGGCCAAGTTTGAATGAACACAATTTATAAAAACAAAAACAAAAAATTAGGGGATGAAAGCTAAGACACCTGTCCTTTTCGGAATCGCTCAACTCTAACCGAAAATTTAATTGTTCTATTTCTCCAACATTGCTTTCGGTTTTATTTTCGGTGTTTGATCTTTCTATTTACATTTCTGTGTCAAAGAAAATATACATAAATGGAATGCATATAAATATAGGTGGTATCTATATCTAAGTTTTAGTTTGAGAAAACTTGTGGTGTATCTATAACTTTGCTCATGGAATTGGTAAGTCATAAACGTGGTTTTTAACCCTTCATTTTTCACCATAGTGTAAATAAATCGTTTTCCAGAGCAATTATTTTATTTTAAAATAGTGGGACCTTGATAACTCAAAAAATTTTCCATCCGAATATCCGGAATTTTTTTTTCTTCTCTACACACAGGTTAAATTTAATCTTAGGATAAATTTATTTCAATTAGAAATAAATTTATTTGTTTACAGTAGAAACTTTGATTATCCAAATAACTCTATTAACCAACGCCGGTTCTGCAAAAGGAATTTTTTTTTTCTTTTAGTGCGCAGGTTTATTATATTGTTTACTTACTTGTTTCATTATTGATTTATTTATTTTAACTGCTATAAATTTATTTGAATGCAGTTAATCCTTGATTATCCGAATATCTTTCATACCAGTAGCTCTGTTAGCCGAAATCAATTCCGGAATGTTTTGTTTTTCTTTTAGGGCATATTAATTTTTTTTTTCGTTTCTGGAAAGCATTTTTTTAACTCACATGCTTATTTTATTCTTTTAATTATTTGTTTTATGATTTATTTATTTATTTTAGCGGCTATAAATTTATTTGCATGCAGTTAATCCTTGATTATCCGAATATCTTTCATCCCAGTAGCTCTGTTAACCGAAATCAATTCCGGAATGTTTTGTTTTTCTTTTAGGGCATATTAATTTTTTTATATTTTTTTTTTCGTTTCTGGAAAGCATTTTTTTTTTTTAACTATAACGTGCTTATTTTATTCTTTTAATTATTTGTTTTATTATTTATTTATTTATTTTAGCGGCTATAAATTTATTTGCATGCAGTTAATCCTTGTTATCCGAATATCTTTCATTCCAGTAGCTCTGTTATCCAAAATCAATTCCAGAATGTTTTGTTTTTCTTTTAGGGCATATTAATTTTTTTTTAATTTTTTTTTCGTTTCTGGAAAGCATTTTTTTTAAAACTAACGTGCTTATTTTATTCTTTTAATTATTTGTTTTATTATTTATTTATTTATTTTAGCGGCTATAAATTTATTTGCATGCAGTTAATCCTCGATTATCCGAATATCTTTCATTCCAGTAGCTCTGTTAACCGAAATCAATTCCAGAATGTTTTGTTTTTCTTTTAGGGCATATTAATTTTTTTATATATTTTTTTCGATTCTAGAAAGCATTTTTTTTAACTCACATGCTTATTTTATTGTTTTAATTATCTGTTTTATTATTTATTTACTTATTTTAACGTCTATAACTTTATTTGCATACAGTTAATCCTCGATTATCCGATTTTCGAAGTCAGAAAAAGCATATTTGTTCTACAGTCCTTGGACATATATTAAGCGCACTCATAAGATTCTATGTAAAATCTTAATTATCAGGTGATACTCTATACAGCTTTATTGTTTTTACGTGACTGTTTGCACTTGTTTACGTTACTGGTTTGCACTTGTTTACGTTACTGTATCAATGGGTTAAATGTGACTATATATTATATATATTTGACGATTGGATAAATTAGACGATTTATTAAATAAATATAGAATATTTATTATATCAGGTATTATATAACTCGTAGTATATTATAACAATTATATCAAATTAATAGACGCAGTGTAGTTTTTTAATAATTGCATGTTTTGCACGAGTTTATAGGTAATGCTTTTATATTTAAACATACATGTAACGGGTTTTTATTCAGGAGAATTTTTATATACTTTCTATTTGTATCTATTTTTAGCGTATTGCATGTTACGTATGATACCAATTGATACAGGAACGTAAACAAGTACAATCCGAGTAAAAACACTAAAGCGGTATAGTATCGCCTGATAATTATAATTTTACATAGAATCTTATAGTGCGTCTTATAATATGGCCAGAAACTGTATTTCTTGACCAGGCATTCCTTTTTCTTTTTTAATGTCGACATTTAGAAGACTCTAAGTTGGGCATCAGGAAATATCACATTCACTCTATGGATCTTTTCAATACAGTTAAAGAAATAAAATGTATTGTACTGCATATGCAGCCATTCAGATTTATTCTACCTGTTATCAATGCGTAAGTAAAAATTTACCCAACTAAGACAACACCTCCTAGAAAAGAGAAGGCCTCAGTACGGGCTACCATAAACAAGAAATTTGATTCTTTAGTAGTCCAAATGTAATGACATATTTAGCTCCCCCCCCCTTTGAACAACTTAGTAGCCCGAGCGTCGTGACATCTTTCTTATTTTTCGCCCACTGCGCAGTTTAGGTTCGTTGCGTCGAATTACTAAATAGATCCGTGCTGAGGCCTTCTTTCTTCCAGGAGGTGGTTCTAAGCCCGTTGTGGGACAGGTGGGTCTAGGAAATTGAGACTCTGCAATTTCGGAACCAAATGCATCATGGTGATGGCATATAGTCAGTATTGCACCCAAAAAAAAAACAAAAATTCTTTTTTATTATCTCAGATGCGATCTTACAGTCCCTTGCCACATTATTAGACGCACTATAAGATTCTAAGTAAAATTATAATGATCAGGTGATAACTATACATCTGCATTGTTTTTACGCTACTGAAACCGGTTTGCATTTGTTTACGCTCTTGTATCCATTGGTTGACATTGTAATGCAATACGTTAAAAATAAATACAAGTGGGGAGTATATTAAAAATGTCCCGATTAAAAACCCATTAAATGTATGTTTAAATGTAAAAGTATTGCCTATAAACTCGTGCAAATCATGTCATTATTAAAAAACTACAGTAAGTCTAATTATTTGATCTAAACATTATAGTAAATATAATGCCTGATATAATAAATATTCTATATTTATATAATATATCGTCTAATTTATCCTATCCTTCACATTTATATTATATATCGTATCATTGAACCAATTGATACACTAACGTAAACAAGTGCAAACCGGTTTCAGTCTTGTAAAAAGAATAAAGCTGTATAGTATGACCTGATAATTACAATTTTACGTAGAATCGTATCGTGCGTGTAATAATTTGGCCAGGGTCTGTATACCCATCAGCAACAGCCGGTGATCGACCTGCCGTACTTTATCCTGTCAGTACAGTACCTAACACACCGTATCCTCACAGCATCAATGTGAAATTTTAATTCCTTTCACAGAACACTTCCTTGATTATAAAATCAACAGCTATTTTACTTTTAATTGCATGGATATTATTTGATTTATTTTTCCAAGATAAATTGGAAAATGTTCTTTTCTTCTTATAATTTTCATAATCAATAATCTGATAAGTCAATGTGTTTTTTTTAAGGCCATTGGTGTCAGCATTTTTTATGCCTTGACCAGATTCGCCTCCTGCTCAAGTAACTATGCATCGACCAGCGGTTACTGGAACTCCAGAGGTTCTTATCATTCCTCCCTAACCAAAGGTCAGCCAGTGACATCTAATCAATACAATACAAATAGTTATGGCCCTCCACCACTGGGACCACAGATTCCTCAACCCCTGGGTTCGAAATCTGTCTCGACTGGATTTCAACCCATAAATGGTAGGCCGGACAACAGCTACATCAATCAGTTGCCTACAGAAAGACCTTCCTGTGCGAGGAAACGAGACTATTGTCTTGCTGACCACGATTATCCCATGTAAGTAGGCATTTTTTAATTTGTCTTTCACTTTAGAGAACTTACTCTTAGATAGATACGGAAGAAGAATGTTCAATTTGTCTTTCTTTTTCGCACTTTAGAGAATTTACTGTTAGACAGATACGGAAGAAGAATGTTCAATTTGTCTTTCTTTTTCGCACTTTAGAGAACTTACTCTTAGATAGATACGGAAGAAGAATGTTAAATTTGTCTTTCTTTTTTGCACTTTAGAGAACTTACTCCTAGATAGATAAAGAAGAACAATTTTCAATTTGTCTTTCGTTTTTGCACTTTAGAGAACTTACTCTTAGATAGATATGGAAGAAGAATGTTAAATATGTTTCATCGTATTTAATTTAAATTTCTATGGTACCACAGTTGACTGGTCGTAAGGACACGATTCTCAGTAGAGTACCGAAACCAAGCATCACTTGCTAAGGTCAATAAGCTGGTGGGTGACCACTTTGATTAGCCTACATAGGGACCGAGGATGCACGGTATCGGTCCTCGTTAAACTGTTCTACCGTAAAGTGCTAGACTTCGCGCTGAGGTCGTTGGGCTACCAAATCAGGAAGCCATCCCCTCTGCAGATATCTACGTATCTTTACGTTATGATTGCGTGATTTGCTCTACAAAGACTAAGCTACAAGCAAGCTGTTTATAGCTGTCAAATGTTGTTTTATGTTTAAGCCTACCTTAGAACTAAAAACTTGGAATGCGAATTTGAAGAAATGCATGGATGAAATTTAGAAATGAATTGCGGGATCTTACAAATATTGATTCATAAAATAAATAAATTATTTTATTGGTTTTTATTTAACATTATGTTTGTCCAATTGCTCGGGTTCCATAAGAAACTAGATAAATTGTCGCTATTTTGAAATTATAAATTATGTTTATTTTAACAATACAATTTAGTTAAAAAGAAGTAACATTATCGATAGAAGTTCAATAATTTTTTTCCTTTTAATATTATTATTATTGTTGTTGTTGTTAATTTACGTCGCACTAGAGCTGCACAATGGGCTATTGGCGACGGTCTGGGAAACATCCTGGAGGATGTTCTGAAGACATACCATCACAATTTTGATCCTCTGCGGAGGGGATGGCACCCCCGCTTCGGTAGCCCGACGACCTGCGCGCGAAGTCGAGCACTTTACGAAGTCGAGCACAGTTCAACGAGGACCAATACAATATTATTATTAAATATAATAATAATAAGCTGTATTCCTTATTGCTGAATTGGGTATAATATGAAAAAAACACAACTACTTCGATTTAGTAGGAACAACATATGACGCAATACTAAACGAATGGAATTTAGTTGTTGTTTATTTAGCTATTGTTATTAGTAGTTGTTGTTATTTGTTTTAGTTGTTGTTGCTTATTTAGTTGCATTTAGTTTCAATAACTTTTCTTTATAATGCAATAAAATCTGGCGAGCAGCTATTTAAACGATCGAACACTTCGTTTGTTTATTTGTGGCTTGAAGTTAGGCTCGCAGAAAATGCCGTTCATGGTATAAATTTAGTAGGAACAACACAACCTGTGACGTAGGCTATAGTATACCCAATTCATCAAAATCTATAATTTACCACATTTTTTTGCTCACTGAACCCCAGCTTTCCGTAGAGCAAAATATCTTGAATCGTATGCCACAGCTTTTTAAGAGATAGTCTACGTATCCATTGTAAATGTTTGTTTTGATTTTGTGGTCAGAGTTGAAAAGTTATTCCACTACGTTCTCTTTTTTAACTTACGGATATTTGCAAAATCTCTTATTTTCACTTACGCTCAAGTTTGATATTTTTTCACTGGTGCATTTCACCTAAATGACGCATGCACACGAATGCTAACGCAAATTTGCGAAATATCCCTAATAATAACTGTTACGAAACTCTACATTAGTCAAAAATAAATTTCAGTCTTTATCTCACTTTACAAAAGAGCTTTTTAAAGTATAGATTCAAACTCTTTGAAAAAAGACGGATTCTGTGTTATTTTCAGGGAAATGGTGAAATCGGTGGTGCAACGCTATCAGGGAGATGTGCACCGGATGTATTCAGAGATGCAACCTTTGCCCGTAGATGTTGCTGGTGGAAACGTCAGCTACAGGTACAATTTTCCATCTGAAAGAGGAGCCTGGGCCTGCGAGACTGATATATTCACCATGAGGATAGGATGGGCCCGAAACTGGGCCGGTCGGTGGAAAGTTGTCCTCAACACTGATCAGTTCCCACAAGCAGTTAGACTAGAGCACTGCAAGTAAGCGCCATTCTTTTATTTTACTTATTTTGTATCGTGTTAAGCAGTAGAGACGAGGGGGAGATTTCCGTATCGAGATCTGCGGCAGAATAATCGCCAAGTCTTTGCAACTTCTGGGCAGCGACCCGAAAGGAAAAAAAAACAGAAAGGGACCAACTCGAAAGGTATAACTCGTAGCCACCTCCGGGTTAACATTAACTTTTTTTGGTGAAAATTGCAAGTTTAAGATCTGTTTGGCACCTTGGCGTCAGTAGTTGGCGCGACAGATCACGATATGGAAATATCCCCGAGAAGAGAGGAGAACTGAACATGCTAAGTAAAATTTCGAAAACAATATAATTGAATTAAAGCTGTGTTATATGGTACAGGGCTAAATTAGCGGTGACCGCCGGCCGCAGGGACACTAACAATTTGAGATTGAAAAATTGTCTGTTGATCGGTGCTTTTTTATCCGAAAATGCACTCCATGTACAATGAGCCTGAAAAAAAACGGGCCACCCTGAATATCTTTTAATCTAAGGATCGGATCCCCACGTTCTAGAACTCATTCTTAATGGTTCGAGGGGGGGACCTCAAATATGCTAATTAATCAGTGCAGACGATATTTTAAGTTACGAAACCAGACAAAAGAAAAAAAACAAATATTTTTTTCAACAGTTTCGGATGCCTGACCCCAAAATATAGGGGGTCGCCGCAATCTGAGATCTGATTATTAGTTCAAAAATTATTCTGGGTGGTCTGGTTTTTTTTTTTCCGCATTGTACATTATATTTTATGATATTCTGAAAATTTCGTTATTTCACACTTTTTTCTTAAAACTTTTCATCATTTTATGTATGAACCTTATAATGTTAATTATATTTTGAGATATGCATCAAAAGAAAATATTATTAACATCAACAGTTTTTTTTATTTGTTTAAAGTTCTCATTATTTGAAAAGGGGCCACTGCTGAAACTGCTACAACTGACTAATATCACAATTTTCTAATTTTCTAATTCCTATATTGACGGCTGCTGGCGTAAAGTACCTTAAATTCTTTTTTTCCCCAGTTTTTATTCGTTTTATGTATTATTATTATTTCTTTTTTTTTAAGAAAGATGATTTTAAATGAAGCTCAAAATAATGACAGACTTTTAAATATTTATATATATTTAAAAAACACCATTAGACAAATTATAATAAGTCATACACAAAATTTAAAAAAAAATAGACAGTTAATTTTTTTTAATTACTAATGCTTGAAGTGTAACCCATTGTTTTACGCCAAGTCTGCCAGCAATTTAAATTTTTCTAGTTTCCGTCGCCCATTTTCTAGTTTCTGTCGATTTCCAAATACTGCAAAAATACATTCTTCAAAAACTCGCAGTGTTTTTCATCACAAACAGTGTCTTTGACATAATCCTATTAAAGGAAAAACGGAGTAAGGTCAGGAATCTTGGTGGCTATGTGAAAGAAATGTGAAAGCAGTGGTGAGGGCGGGGATAAGGGGGGTGCCCCTAAGTAGTAAATGTTGTTGAAAGAGCCGTGGAGACTCAGGGGATAGAGCACTCGCCTCCCAATGAGGTAAACCTGGTTCAAATCCCTGTGATGGCTGGTTAATTCGAATTCCGCACCTAGCTCGCACAGCCCACAGTGCTGACCTTAAAATATCTTCAGTGGTAGACGGATTATGTGTTAGAGTCTCCTTGCCGTCAGGCTAAACTATTAATTTCTGCCGTTTGTCGAGTGAATATTATAATTGTGCCCCATTGTGAGCCTCCTAATTTATGTATAATTATTTCCTTTGGTATGGTATTTCTTTTTGTATGGAGGTTTTAGTGGTTTTCTTCTCCATATAACGTAATGGTATGGAGGTATTCGTGGTTTTCTTCTTCATGGGTTAGTTCTATCAGAAGGTCCTCCGCGAAGGCAAATTTCCAGGATTTTCCTTGTCTCCTGGATTGGGTTCAAAATTACAAGGCTACGGAGTTGAACAATAGTAGTCATAAACCCAAAACATTTGGGTCGACTGTTTAATGGTGGTTACAAAATGCGTAAACAAGAGGATAAACATGGCTCAGGAGATAGAGGGTTCGCCTTCCAATGAGGTGAGCCGGGTTCGAATCCCAGCAAATGGCTGGTTGATACGATTTCCGAAACCGGATAGCACTGACCACAGTGCTGACTTAAAATATCTTCAGTAGTAGTAGACGGATTATGGTCTCGAGTCCTTTTGCTGTCAAACTTACCGTGGCAGGCTTTCGTATTTTTCCTCTCCATGTAACGGAAATGCGGGTTAGTTCTATCAAAAAATCCTCCTCGACGGCAAATTTCTCCCAATACTTGATCCAGGATTTCCCTTTTCTTCTGGATTGGGTTCAAAATGACAAGGATACGGAGTTGAATATTAGTAGTCATAAACCCGAACATTGGGTCTGCTTTTCAACAACGGTTATAAAATGTTGTTATGATAATGTGTGACTTTTGTTTTAGGTACGAAAACCGGTCTTGCCAAATGATGCCTCCTTGTGTGAGATCTTCTTGCCTACAACGGTACACAGCAGTGCAACTTCTGAGTACGGATCCTCAGGCTCCTGACCAAAGTCCGACCGTGGACACGTTTCTTCTTCCCGGAGGATGCTCTTGTTATATTGACTTCCTATGATCTTCTTGACCACAACTTTAAAAAAAAAGTTCCTATCCGAGGTCCCGAACATGATCCTTCATCGCGATTTGGAATGTCAATTTATTGTTGCCAGTCAAATCGTTATTCTCATTTGCTTGTAGTGTAATTAAAACGTAGGTGTGATGCATACGCAGACAAAATAGTTCCTGATATTGAGATAAATTTTCAAATTATGAACAAAAAATAATTAAACAGAGTACAGTCCCTGTTCAAATCATTAATAAGATTCTGTGTAAAATCTTAATTATCGCGTGATACCCTATACAGCTTTATTGTTTTTATGTGAATGTTTGCACTTGTTTACGTTAGTGTATCCATGGGTTGAATTTGACGATAGATAATATAAATTCGACGGTAGGATACATTAGACGATATATTATATGAATATAGAATATTTATTATATCAGGTATTATATTGGTATATTATAATAATGAGACCAAATAATTACACACACTTTAGTGTTTTAATAATGATACGTTTTGCACGAGTTTATAGGCAATACTTTTATATTTAAACACACATGTAATAGGTTTTTATTCGAGAGATTTTTTATATACTTCCCATTTCTATTTATTTTCAAAGCATTGCATTGCATTGTTTACCAATTGATACACGAGCATAAACAAGTGCAAACTGGTCTCTGCCGCGCAAAAACAATAATGGCGTATATCATCTGATAATTAAGATTTTATATAGAATCTTATAGTGCGTCGAATAATTTGGCCAGAGACTGTAGCTATTTGAGGAAATAGAATACCAAGATTTTTTTTTTTGTTACGCTTATTAGAAACTTTTGTTTATGACTTATTATTTACTATTTATTTTATCTATGGGAGCTCGATTTGTACTTGTTACTTGACAAATCTGTCAATTATTTCCCTGTGTACAAACAGTTAAAAATCTAACTGTACAGTACCGGAAGAAAGCCCATTGGGGCAGCTGCTGGTCCAGTTGTATTAGAATACAACATAAAAAATAAATAAAATAAAACTTTGCACATTAGTGGTTTTAAATTGATATTTAAGTGAAATAAGGACCGATAATGTATTACCTTTATTTTTAAGATTATGTTAAAGTTATCAAAAAAAAGTTCATTTGTCTTTTGGGACTGTCCTTTCGTTAGTAACCATCTTTAAATTTCATTCTTAAAACTAGTACTTTTCTTTTCACTACGTTACTTTTGAAAATTGGTAATTTTTTTCGTTTCGTGATTACTTTTGAAAATAATTAATTTTTCATGTACTATTTCGTTACCAGTTTAAAATGGAAAAGTATCGTACTTTTTTTTTTTTTTTTAACAAAAACATTGAAAGAATTTTAACCTTTCTTCTCTTTCTAAAAAGCTTTGTTACCAATTCTTAGAATAAAACTTTTTTCACGCTATTCTCAAGCAAGATTGTCAATTTCCCAAAGTTTATTTTAAAATAACTTTCTAACTTTAGCTTTCTAACCTACAAGTTTCTTAACCACTGATGCTGAAAAGACAGATAAAATGCACATCAAGATGCTTTTGTCCCAACAACGTGCCGTGCATGTCGTTGGTAATTTTGTCACAGAATTAAAAAAAAGACGTTTGCATCTTAAAAATTAAAAAATAGAAAATATTTAGAGCATCGATTGAAAAAAGTTGCATCGAACACTGTCTGCCGTTTTGGTAAGCACATTTATGAGTATCTTCACAAATCAAGTGGTTAAATATAGTTCGTTCACCAGGAGTTGAGACTTGGCTCCACCTCCTCGGACGCAGAGTTCATTTCAGCGCGGGAGTTTGAAGAGAAACATCTCCGTTGTTGAAATTGAGACAACCCTTAATTTGCGCCAAACACAAAAAGTGAATTCTTTTTCAGTCACTTACTTTGCTTTATCATCTGCTATTATACATTTTGTTACACTAACTAATTAAATATAGTTTAAATTTAAAAACTGCTGTTCTCCCAGCGAAATGGCTCATAAAGGACAAACTATTCACTCAAAAGAAAGAAATATCATAAAAAATGGTGCAAAATATCATCAAATTTATGAAATATTGTTAAGAAAATGCACATAAAGTTTGCGAAATAAATGTTCTTGCCAAACGATCGCCAAATAGTAGCAACATTGTTCAAGATTGCTCACAACCTTCTCCCAAAAATAGCGAAATAGTATCGTCGCATACCACGTGATGAAGGCGGAGCCAAGTGCCAACTCCTGGTGAACGAGCTATACGTATCTTATTCGGATTACCAATACTTCGTCAAATACTTTGTTTCGTGAACTTGTTCATTTTGTTCCATTTGTGAAGAATAGTAAAAAATTGTGAAATAGTGAAAATTGACGAATTATACCATGTTTTTCTATCTTATCTTGAGAATATATTTTTTATTTAATACTATTAATAAAGCAAATAAATTTATAAAGTAAAAATAACCGAAGAGCAAAGCAATCGTTTTGTAAAATGAGCAGTTAATTAGTAAAAAATCAAATAATTCACGAAATTAGTTTGAAAAAAATATTTCAGCTTTCTACACATTTTAAAAGCAGTTTATGTTATTTTGAATGCATTATCATTTTGGTTTTATGTGTTTGTAAATAAAGTCGTTACTTTTTAAAATTTCTACTTGTACTTTTTACTCAATATTTTTAACCCATTAAATAGGTTGTAACCCATAAAGGTTGCTTTTTAAAAACTTCTAAATTTTATTTTTAAGCGACAAAAAATAAATGAGGTTTTTATGCACTTTAACTTCTGTAATAAAATAGCCTATATAGGCTTTACAGTTGGGGAATTTAATTATCGACAATACCAACCTTCTTCTTTCAAAGGGTTCCTCAAGATTGAATCCATTTAGCTTGTCTTATATACTAGTGAATTGATGTTTAATATTCGTAGTGGTAGTTACGCCACAATACTCCCCTACCAGAATATTAACAGAGATAGAATTCAAGGAAAACATACAACTAGCGAAAGACCGGGAAAGCTGTATTAAGCTCACCGTATTTGGAGCGCTTGTGGTGAGAGCTGCATTAAGTTCACGGTTGCGTGTGTGGTCTCTCTTGTGTTACTAGTTGCAGTCGAGTGTGTGTAGGATCCCGTTGTGTGTAAATACGACTGAGAAACAACAGCGTGAAGAGGACGATTGCGCAGTCTCAAATAGCAAGTCAACTGCTCAATGGGAATCATCCATCGAAGTAAGCGTGCTCAAATCAAAGCGGGCATTGCTTTCGAGGTCAGCGGCTTCATATCGCGTCCGGGTCACCAATGTAGAGAATGTAGAAATCGATAATGCCAACCTTCATCTATCAAAAGGTACCTCTAGATTGAATCGAGTTAGCGTGTCTTAAACACTTGTGAATTGATGTTTAATAATCATAGTGATAGTTACGCCACATACACTTGAAGATTTTTAATTAATCATTCAAGTTTTAATCTCCTTGGAGTAACTGTAAGCCTTATTCAGAAACCAGCAATGGTTTTACATAAACTTTTTGAGTTCATGCTGCCTCCATTTATTTATTTTTTCTAGATAGAGAAAGGCATAGGCAACAAAAAAAAACATATTTCGACTGCTTGAAATATAAATGAATATGATAATATGAAATAAAAAGTCACAGAAGAGAAAAATGCTAACATTTTGTTATTAAAAGAGAAGTGTTTTATTTTTGATTTCCAAACTATGAAATCTAAATAAATTACATCTGCTGTGCCTGCCTCGAAAATATGTAATAGAAATGAAAAATCCACTCCCACAAGGGATTGAGCTTGCAATTGAAGGGAAAAATCTTTAAAGAATACTTGCTGCAGCATCGAAAAAAAAATTTCCAAAGCGAGTTATAAGCAAGAATATTTTATTGATAAAAAATATACTTACCTTCATTTCCTCTCTAAACTTGCTGTTGTAAATTCTTAGACATTTTCTTTGAATTATGAGTCAATCTGAATTTATGCAATAAATTTTAGCTGAAAATACTTCTTCTTGATTTAACTCTTTATAATATTTTTGTATTCAAACAAACGGCAAAATTGCTTTGATTGAAGTATCAACACTAAATTCAAATGGATTACAGCATATTTTTTGAAACATCATCAGATCGTAGAAAACGATATGTCAGTGAAGTACACGATTATCATAACGACGCCGTTCTTCTCGGTTATTGGTCCGATGAGAGGGCTCGAAAAGAGATCGAAACTGAGAGACTTCTGCAAGCTTTTGCCAATGAAGAATTGCCCTTTCAGAAACTCGACAGGTACGCATCGCTATTAGCCAAACCCGTTCAACTCACCCGGAATTTGGATGGTTTCTTGCACCACGGTGACATAATTCGCTTGAAATGGTCACACCAGAACGAAACATTGTACTTGGCGGCTTTACCTCAAAATATTGCCACAGATGGTACATTCGACGAACCTTGCTGGGTTACGGCAAGTGCAGATTCAAGAATAATGGCAAGGAATTCTGTTTACATATTCCGCAATAGCAATTTTGTACCGAATCACGTTCCTTTAACATACGGAGAAATGATAATAATCTGCACTGTGGATGAAGCGGGCCATCGTTTATTGAACGGCGAGCCGAAAAATTTTACGGCATTTGCTCAAAAATCCGGTCACATGGAAGTAACGTTTGTCAAGGAGTTGTCCGGGAGAGGATTGTGGAGGATATTTTGCACCCATAAAGACGATAGGCTGAAAACAGAAGGACAGTTTATACCGTGTAATACAGACGTAATTATTCATCATGTGGCCAGTGGACAAAATTTAGCAGTTGAAAGAAAGACCGAAATAAAAACAGTTTTAGGATATGAGAGAGAAATATCTGTACATTCGTACATAAATCGGTGCAAAACAGATGACGAGCCAAATATCTGGCGAATCGAAGCTCCTTTCATTAAACCAGAGGATTACGGCGAACCAATCAAATTAACGTGCAATAAAAAGTTATAACACAGCTATAATTTCAATGTTTACTTGAAACTTTTACTTTTTTATTGAACGTTAACTTTTATTGATGTCAGTGATACTGAATTAATTGTGGTATTAAATACTACGGAGTGCCTATTATACCCGATCAGTCGATTCAAAAAATTTATTTTACTGCCGTGCCGGAACAAATTTCGACCCATTCCAAAATCGATTCTTGTTCACGTGATATTTTCTAATTTATATTTTTAGGTTTGATATCCCTAGCGTCATGATTGCTTTTGGATCACTTTTTTCTTCGTATGAAAAATTAGAATGTGCTTTCTCTGAATTGAGATACCTTACACTGAGGATTTTTTTAAGGTTAAGTGCCACTGCTCGGTATGAATTTTTTTTTCTTCATGTATTCTACACTCATGTTTATAAAGGTTGAATGGTTAAGGTTAACTGGATGGTTTTTATCGGTTGAATAGCGTCACTGTTATCGTACCGACACAAGAAATTGGTTTTTTAGCATTACCGCTATTGAGTCGAACTTATCCTGAACTTACAGTGGTTCTGTTGTCAAAATTCGGTTGAACAACGATTGAAATATTTAATCGAAGTGCAATTCGATTTCTTTTTTTAAAATTCAATTTATCGAGAATTATTTGACCGTAATTCGACTATATTCGACATAAATGAATAAACATGACGACGAATCTCGCCAAATCTACAACTACGACAGCAAGCTTTATCGCCCTCCCTAACATCGCCAAAACCACCGATTAACGTATACCTTTTTTACTAATATCTAATTTAATATCAGAGTTTTTTTTCCTCCATCAGGGCCGTCTTAATAGCAAGCAAAACCCCTTTAACATGCCATACTGTTTAAAATCGAACTAAAAAAAACTTCACATACATAAAATAAAGCATTTTTAAACTATGACAATTTTTTTTAAATAATTAAATGTTTAATCAAATATTTTTCCAAACCAAGAAGCTAATTAAAATAGTTAAATTAAAAAAATATGTAGGGTATAACAAATGTAAAAATTCAGAATGTATGCATTATTTCGTCGCACTAGTCAGTTATTAAAGCACTTTATGGGAGAAATGACCTTGAATTGATGTTAACTTTTAGAGAAAGCGGTTGAATTCCTTTTTGTTTGCATTTCATACAGGAATCCATGCCAAAAATCAATTTACGAGAAAGCATAAGAGAAATCTCTTAGGCATGGAACTATGATGTTACAAATCGGAGCTGGATTGTTTGTCAGCGCGGAGAATTTGGAAAGTGCGGAGAAGAAGGATGACATTTCGTTTGAAGTACTTAAAAAATGTGCGTACAGTTAGGAGAGAACCACGAAATTAACGGTGATGTAGTGATTAATGATTTTCTTTTTATTCATTCTGAGGCTACAACCACAGAAACATTAACTGAATGGCATATTTTGGACAGTGTGAAAAACAAAAACAATACAGCAATAAATTGTGAGGAAGATGAAGGCTATGATGAAGAAATCACCAAACCTTCATACAATAAAATGTTAAAATCATTTTAAACAATTCGATAGTATATAATCATTTACAAGATAAAGGTTTATCAATTGCTTATTTAATTATGTCTAGTGTTTATGAATTTAAAACCTGTTTTGTGTTGTTTAAGCAATTTAAATGGTGATTTTCCATTTAATGAACTTTTTAATCGAGATTTAGCGACTTCGTTAAATAGAGGTACGACTGTATTTTTTAAAATTTGAAAATAAACTGTATAAATTCCATGGCAAATATTTGTTATCGTAAAAATGGCACGGTGTAGTGACAATGACGAAAAGCAACAGTATAAAAATAGTCTTTTATGCATTGCCTTAGAAAAGAAACTATCCGATTAGTAATGCTGCATGATGAATACGCTTTTATAGAAAAAAAAAATTATTAAAATTCAAAATGCAGTGAGTCATAAATACAGTGCCAGATTAAGCGTACGTGGGCCCTAGGCCATTCTAATTTTTGGGGCCCTTAGATTAAATTTTTTTCTCGTATATTTTTTATTTATTCAAATATAAAAGTATTTATATATCTTTTCATTTAAGAAAGCATATTTAAAATTAAAATAAATAATAATGAATTAAATTTTACTTTATTTTGTTAAATTAGAACTAAAAAATAATCATAACATTTTATAATCATAACATATATATTTGGAATTGATTTTTTTTTTTTTAAATCATTGTTTTTCCTAATTTTTTGAAATTTATTTTCAAAAAATTCATTTTAAGGGGGCCCCCATATAATGTTACAAAAAAGGATCCATAACTAAACATAAGCTAAAATCTGGAAAAAGTTATAAAATCAACTTGTGTATAGCACTTCAATAACCAATAACAAATTATTTAACTGCCCTAATATACTGCAATGAATAAGACTGATAAGTAGGATGATGAACATATCAGAAGATAGAAATCGTTTCGGTATCAAATTTTGAATAGATGATGATATTTTGCAATGGGTAGATGGGTACTTTGTACTACATATTATATACCGGTACTTTTCAATTTCGCACGCGCTAGTAAATTCGACTATTTCATTTATTTATTTACTATTTTTTTTAAATATATCCTTCAACTAAAAAATTTTTTTTTAAAAATTAAATTACTTTGGCTGACTTGGCATTATAGACCTGATAGCCTACGCCGGCGAGAAAAAAGTACCTGCACAGATTACACATAAAAACATATTAACTTATAGTTCTTTCATAAAAACTGGTCAGGTAATGAAACATTTCTTCTAGTTCTGTAATTTTTACAAGAAAAGTTGTTAAAGAATCCACTTTTCATAAGAAAACAATGCACTTCTTACTGTTCATTATTATTTATTTTGTTACACGTTTATTTAACAAAAAAAATTCAACAGCCCTTTTAAAACTCCATTGTCCAACAGCACATTTAAAACATCCAAAATAGCCATTGTTAATGTAAATTAAAAATACTCATTATTAATGAGTTAAAAAGAAATCGTTTGAACTAAGCGGGAAAAAAACTATCATATTTCAAAAGCAACTTTTAAAGCAGGCGATAATAAACAATTAATCTTTACAATTTTTCACTACCAACTCTTCTCATTCCTACTTATGTGAGGGAATTTTATAGCAATTAATTATTAGCAATTTTGTTCACAAAATTAATGCATATAAATAGTTCTTTTTGAATTCGTTTCGAGACTAAATGTCCCATCATGCTTTACGTTAAGCATGATGGGAGATCTTTCGTACGGGGCATGCGCAAACTTGTGTTCTCTAAGGCGCGATCGATTTACAATAATGGACGTCCAGACAATATTCTTTACTCTTCATCCATGATACCTATAAAATTATCTTACTCTTCTAAATTTAATATTCTATTCCATTTTGTTTCCTGATTGCTCGCATTATTGAATGAATCGTTTAGCATCCTAAGCAATGGCAAAATTCTGCTGCACTGCAACAACCATAACAGGTAAGTTCGTGTTCTATTTCATTTGATTTGGGCTCGGAATTCTTTTTTTTAAATAAATTATTGAAAAATTGTTCGTAAATATAATGATTTACGTTGAATACCAATGAAAAATATTAAATCTGACAATAATATGCTATTAAAGTTATGCATAATTATTCTAGAAACTGACTTTAAAATATTTAAAAGAACAAGTTAACATTAAACTTTCTTGTTAGATATTTTAACACTAGTCTAGATTTTACTGATTTAATGATCTTTTAAAATTATCTTTTAAAATATTCTTTTTCCTGAAATTTGAAGGAAAAACTGAACTGAAAAAAGGTTTAAAATTTGGAAAGTTGGATGATATATATTTTTATATTGGATGATATATAGTTAGAAAAGAACTCGAAGATATTGGATATAATTTATATTGGGTTGAGAGTTTANGTTTATTTAACAAAAAAAAATTCAACAGCACTTTTAAAACTCTCACTGAAATATCCATTGTTAATGTAAATTAAAAATAGTCATTATGAATGAGTTAAAAAGAAATCGTTTGAATTAAGCGGGTAAAAAAATCATATTTCAAAAGCAACTTTTAAAGCAGACGATAATAAACAATTAATCTTTACAATTTTTCACTACCAACTCTTCTCATTCCTAACTTATGTGAGGGGATTTTATAGCAATTAATTATTAGCAATTTTGTTCACAAAATTAATGCATATAAATTATGCTTTTTGAATTCGTTTCGAGACTAAATGTCCCATCATGCTTTACGTTAAGCATGATGGGAGATCTTTCGTACGGGGCATGCGCAAACTTGTGTTCTCTAAGGCGCGATCGATTTACAATAATGGACGTCCAGACAATATTCTTTACTCTTCATCCATGATACCTATAAAATTATCTTACTCTTCTAAATTTAATATTCTATTCCATTTTGTTTCCTGATTGCTCGCATTATTGAATGAATCGTTTAGCATCCTAAGCAATGGCAAAATTCTGCTGCACTACTACAACCATAACAGGTAAGTTCGTGCTCTATTTCATTTGATTTGGGCTCGGAATTCTTTTTTTAAAATAAATTATTGAAAAATTGTTCGTAAGTATAATGATTTACGTTGAATACCAATGAAAAATACTAAATCTGACAATAATATGCTATTAAAGTTACGCATAATTATTCTGGAAACTGACTTTTAAATATTTAAAAAAACAAGTTAACATTAAACTTTCTTCTTAAATATTTTAACACTAGTCTAGATTTTACTGATTTAATTATCTTTTAAAATATTTTTTTTCCAGAAATGTGAAGGAAAAACTAAATTGAAAAAAGTTTTAAAATTTGGAAAGTTGGATGATATATATTTTTATATTGGATGATATATAGTTAGAAAAGAACTCGAAGATATTGGATATAATTTATATTGGGTTGAGAGTTTATTTAAATGTAGTTGAGAAAATTTTATGCAAATTAAATAATTAAGTATAAAAACTTTTTAAATCTCAAAATAAGGACAAACGATTCAAATAAGAGCAAAAAATTTAAACTTTAAATAAAATATGCCCTTTTTAATTGACTATGTAATTTTTTTATAAAAATCACAGAATAAACAGGTTGCAAATCTATTAAAAACACATGTATGGTAAATGTATCTTTTTTTGGTGTGGAATGCTGGATATCATTGGACTACTTCTTTAAATTTCTTCTTCTATTTCTGACGAATGAAATCTTCTGTTTCGACAACAAATTAAATAAAAATATAGCGAGTAGATGCAAGGGTTTTTAATACAAAAGGAATTTTGAAATAATTTACCAAATGAAATCCCTCGCGTACCTTAAGTACCTAATTTATGATACTGAAATCTATATTAATCAAACTCCTCAGAAATTCAGTACGAGTCTTATAATAAGATTTATATATTTTTTTTCAGCTTTTATATTCTTTTTGTATCACAAGCAATTACATAGTTTTTTTATAGTGCATATATATACTTTTAAACTCGTGAGATTTAATTACTTTTTTATCAAGTCACACGACTATACTGCTATATTTATACTTAAAATTTTTTTGACAATGTTCAGTATTCATAAACGTATTGTTTTAAGACGAAAAAAACAAGCTCTCTGTTCATTTCAATCATTTTGTTCCCAGCATTCTTTCTAATGAATTGTACCTCATCTAAAAGGTTTGAGGGAATTTTATAGCAATTAATTAT